TGAGCGCGGTGCGGGTGCAGCACCGAGGGTTGCGATCCCGTTGCCGGTCCCCGGTGCGGGCATGGCACCGAGGGTTGCGATCCCGTTACCGGTCAGTAAAAAAAAAGACAAAAAGGAAAAAAAAAATGGGGCTCAATAAGTAACTGTGTTTGATCTGTGGCTCAATCTGCCCATTGGGTCAAGTAGTTGCTGAGGCTAGAACTTGACATGCCTCTTAACCATGAAGAGATATTGCTAGATAGAAAGACTCCATCATTTATGGAAAAAGAATTCAATTTATTTCCTATTTATAAAATGTTAAAAAAGTGCTGTGGGTATAAAATCTAAATGTCTAAGGGGTGATCAGTCAGGAGCATATAACTATCATTCCTGGCATCCTTCAGTCATTCATGTGTGGTACAGGGAAAGTGAGGGCTGGGAGGTCCTCCCGTCTCAGGTTTCCTGAGAGAGCCACAGAACCCTTACTACAGAAAAGGGGGCAGAGAGAATGAACGGGATAGAGCGGGAAAGGAAGGAAAGGGTGTAGAACTGAGATAGGAGGCAAGAAAGGGATTATGTACTGAAGTCTGTTGGGGAACATTTTAATTTGCAAGAGGGAGGATCTTCCTTTTCGAATGCTGAACACAACTGGCCTGAGCCTATCTTAGGGAGTCCACTGTTTCCCGGTGCATAGGGCCAATACTTCCTGCAGAGCAGCAAACGTGGCTTCTATCAGGAAGGAAAGACATCCATCAGCGTGACAAGAAGAGGTCACCTACGGACTTGCATGAACTCCTTGCGCAGCCACAAAGAGTCCTGGTAGAAGCGAGGATCACCCAGTCTCACAGCTGTCCGTTTGTAGAAGTAACAGTACAGCACTGCCGCTGTGGATAATAAACAGAAAAGAAGCCTCAGGGATGCTCCTGAGTATTAGTTTCAGGATAAGAACAGAACCTAACAAGCAATAATCTCCCCTGTTCTTGGTGTGGCTGTCCCAACCATCCCAGGCCAGCTGTGACAAGGATGGGAAGCCAGGATCAAGGACCTCACTACCAGAGACATAGGTGGGACCCAAGTGAGGCGTGATGTTGCTTTGGTCCTTACCTAGTCTCTGGAATACAAACAGCGTTTGAAGTCCATCTGTCCAAACAAAGCTGTTGGAGTTTTTCCAGCGTAAGTTCTGAAGGAGATATGAGTAGACAGGGAAAGGTTAATGGCCACATGAGGCCCAAAAATCTCCAACTTGGTTAGCTGCAGGGTTGCCACTCAGTTCATTCTCTCTATAATCCCAGGAAGTGTTTCTCAAAGGAGCCTCAAGCCCTCTTTTTAGTAGCAAAGGCAATATCCTTTTAACCCTAGGGTAGGAAGTATTTATCCCCTTTCATTTCACAGGAGAAATGATATACATTATCTCCAGAGTTCAGCTGGTCCCCATCTTGCCTTGAAAATCTCAGGCTCAGCTCCTGTCAGATAAAGGCTTTGGTACACTCAGGGTTTAATCAGATCAACAGCTTTTATAGTACAGGCTCTATTTTCTATTTTGGCTCTAGGAACCAGAGCACAGAAT